GCCCAGGGAGGTACTACCGTCCTGCCAAGTGAGTGTACAACGAAAGCCTGTAATTGTTTTACATGATGGTAGGATTGCTGGTGTCCATTTTTCTGTCTCATAAACATGCAAGGTTTCAGGTACGTCTTGCTACTTCTACTTACACTTAGGTCACACTACACATACATGTACAAGCATATATATACACACCCCTCTGGATTTTCTTCTATTTTCTTACTAGTTCTTGTTCTTGTTTATTTTCTCTTACCTCCATGGGGAAGTGGAACAGAATTCTTCCTCCATAAGCCATGCGTGTTTTAAGAGGCGACTAAAATGCCGGGAGCAAGGGGCTAGTAACCTCTTCTCCTGTATAAATTACTAAATTTAAAAAGAGAAACTTTTGTTTTTCTTTCTGGGCCGCCCTGCCTTGGTGGGATACGGCCGGTGTGTTGAAAAAAAAAATCAGGAAAGATAATATCCAAGAAGACAGATATAGAGAGCAGTGAGTATGCCACTTGGTCAAGTGTATGCATTATTGTATACCAATCATCCAAGTACAGTGGACCCCCGGTTTACGATATTATTTCATTCCAGAAGTATGTTCAGGTGCCAGTACTGACCGAATTTGTTCCCATAAGGAATATTGTGAAGTAGATTAGTCCATTTCAGACCCCCAAACATACACATACAAACGCACTTACATAAATACACTTACATAATTGGTCGCATTGGAAGCTGATCATAAACCGGGGGTCCACTGTATATACATTATTGTACAGCACTTGTTCACGTATATACAGGGATATGCACAAGGTAAAATACAAGACCTTGAAATATACAATATATTCTCACTAGTTTAAATAATATACAAAAAAATTGTGAAAAAATGTAGGCCTATGAGGATGTGAAGAATATATGATAGTAACTTTTTAGTAGGCTTAGTCTTCAATAAGAGATACTTGGTAGATACTAGAGTATCTTTAATGTTGTCGACTACAAGATAAGGAGGAAGATAATACAATAACACATACAACATACACACACACAACATTCACAATACACATACACAACATACACCAAAGTGAAAATAGCAGTGATAAACAACCCACCACAAACAACAGGAGGCCAAGCCAAGAGTACGATGAGACCAACAGAATGATGGTGGACAGTGGCCAAGATGGCCAGAAGAGCCCACATAAGCAGGGCAAAATTTCTCGGCATAGGAGATTTTAACCATTAGGAGATTTGACTGGGAGAACCTGGAAACACATGGCTCCAGATTCCACCTCCAGCATCATGGCAGAGCCAAGATGCTGGAGGTGGAACTGGAAAACTGTATGTACCAATATGTTAGGGACACAAGCACAGAAAGGAGATGATGAACCAGCAAGGCTGGACCTCGTATTCACCTTAAACAGTTTAGACATAAGGGATATTACACATGAAAGGCCCCTAGGTGCTAGCGATCACGTAGTCCTGAGTTTTAAATACATAGAGTTAATAATGGAGAGTGAAGCAGCATGAGAAAACATGAAATGCAGTGGGTAAGCAAGCTAGAGGGAAAAATAGTAAATGAAATAATGGAACACTTGACCACAAAGTGCTGAGAGGCAGTGGAGATGTTCATACCAAGGGGCAACAGAAACAATGGGAAAACCAAGGGAACCCATGGTTTACCAGGTGTGGAGAGGCCAAAGTCAACTGTACTAGAGCGTGAAAAAAGTACAGAAGGCAAAGGACCCAGGAAAACAAGGAGTTTAGTTGAAGAGCCAGAAATGAATATGCATGGATAAGAAGAGAAGACCAGTGTCAATACAAGAATGACATAGCATCAAAATCCAAAGTTATTGTACATCCACAAAAGGAGGAAAACAACAGTCAAGGACCAGGAAATCAGGCTGAGGAAGGAAGGAGGAGAGATCACAGGGAATGGCCCAGAAGTATGTGAAGAGCTCAGCTCAAGATTCAGGGAGGCATTCACAGTGGAGACAGAGAGGCTTCCAGCAAACCGAGGGGGAGGAGGGTGCACCAGTAAGTGCTGGATACACTGCACACAACCGAGGAGGTGAAGAAACTGTGAGGTGAACTAGATACCTAAAAGGTGATGGGCCTAGATAACATCTCTCTGTGGGTCCTGAGAGAGTGAGCAGACGCACTATGTGCCACTTACAATAACCTTCAATAAATTTATCGAAACACAACAGCTACCTGAGGTGTGGAAGACGGCAAATGCAGTACCAATTTTTAAGAAAGGAGACAGATAGGCTGGACTAAACTGTAGACCTGTTTTGCTAACATGTATAGTATGCAAAGTTATGGATAAAATTATCAGAAGACTGATGGAGCACCTAGAAAGGAACAGGCTCATACATGACAACCTACACAGCTTCAGGGAAGGGAAATCCTGTGTCACAAACCTACTGGAGTTGTATGACAAGGTAACAGAAGTAAGACAGGAGAAGGGTGGGTAGATTGCATCTTCTTGGTGTGCAAGAAGGCTTTAGACACAGTGCCACACAAG